CTCTCTGGGAAGAACTTCTTCCCCATGGCCAACCTAAACCTGCCCTGGGGCAGCTCCAGGCTGTGCCCTCATGTCCTGGGAGAAAAGTCTGAGCCCCCCTGGTTTCCCCTCCTGGCAGGGAGTTGCAGAGAGTGAGAAGGTCTCCCCTGAGCCTCCTCCTGTCCAGGCTGAGCCCCCCCAGCTCCCTCAGCTGCTCCTCCCAGCACTTGTGCTCCACACCCTTCCCCAGCCTCGTTGCCCTTCTTTGGTCCTTACAGAATCCTGGGGGGTGTCGGGAAGACCATGGCCAGCAGGTCAGGGACTGATCCTGCCCCTCTGCTTAGTCCTGGAGTGCTGTGTCCAGGTCTGGGCTCCTCAGGACAGGAGGCACATGGAGCTCCTGGAGCTGTAGAAGTGATGAGGGGACTGGAGCTTCTCTCCTCAGAGGAAAGGCTGAGGGAGCTGGGGCTGCTCAGCCTGGAGAAGGGAGCTCCTCAGTGGGAGATAAATACCTAAAGGAGGTGTCAGAGGCTGGACCAGGCTCTGCTGGGGGGGTGGGGGGCAGCAATGGGTCAAGAGGCCACGGGCACAAACTGATGCCCAGGAGGTTCCACCTGAACATGAGAAGAACTTCTTTGCTGTGCAGTGACCCAGCACTGAACAGGCTGCCCAGGGAGGGTGTGGAGTCTCCTCACTGGAGATATTCCAGAACCACCTGGACACAACCCTCTTCCATGTGCTCTGGGATGGCCCTGCTGGAGCACTGAGGTGGCACCAATGACCCTCTGTGGTCCCTCCAAACTTCACCCACTCTGTGAATCAACTCTGTCACTGTCCAGCTGAATGTCTTCCTGTGCTCTGCAGGATGTCCAGCCCTGTGCTGCTCTTGGGGCAAGAGGCACTTTGAAGGCTGAATAACATCAGGATTTGACATGGAATAAAGTCCCCACCCCCCCAGTTTTTCCAACAGGGTTAAAAGGAGAGCTGTCACTGATAGCTGAGATTCTCTAGGAGTGCAGCATCCAAAAGGTTGATTCCTAAAAAGAATAATTAAAGTTCATATTATTAAAGTTTTTATTAAAGTTCATACAAATCTAACCATCAAATGGGTCTTGAAAATTCCACCCAGGAATTATCCCAATCAGCAAATAATAAATTTTAGTAAAACTCAATCACAGATTTTGGCTGATATAAATAAAGATAAGTCATTACTTTACTGACACTGCACTTCTAATTTGTGTCACAAAGCATCTCCTGGTTGCAAGTTCTGCTCTACAACAGGTGTCATGTCCTGCCCTGCTGTGTCTGGCACTTGGAAATCTCATGTTTTGCTGAATCTGACAGTCACAACATCATCCTAAGCTGAAAACACAGATTGGAGTATTTTATTCAGGCAACTGTAACATCACAGCTTCCAGTCCTGAGGGTCACCTGCCTTTTTTTCCCTTCCAGCATGTCCAAAATCCTGAAGTGTGCAGGGAATGAGGACATCATAACCCTGCGGGCAGAGGACAACGCAGACACCTTGGCTCTGGTGTTCGAGGCACCAAGTGAGTGTTGAATTTGGGGGCTCATTTGTTGGTGTGATGTTCTCAGGCAGCCTCACAAACCCCACACAGGGTTCATAAACCACACAGAGGGAAGGAAATAACAATAAATAGCAGGGAAATGGGAGGGGACACCTGATACTCACTCTGAACAGTCTGGGAATTGAAACTTAGTCAACTTGACCAGTAATTTCTTTGTAAGAAGAAGGCTTTTTTAGGCCATGCACTGATGCCCTTATCTGTACTTTTTCAGCCTATAAAAGGCTGTTTGGGGCACTTCCAGGTTTCCTTTCTGAGGAAACGAGGTGGATCACACTGTCATCACTGAGGTGGTTTTGGGGTGGGGGAGAAGAGTAACAAAAGTCAAATTCAGGTTGGTAACTTCTTGGGAACACTTGGTCACCCTGTGCTTTGTTCCTTTAGATCAGGAGAAGGTCTCTGATTACGAGATGAAGCTGATGGACCTGGATGTGGAGCAGCTCGGGATTCCAGTAAGTCGGGGCCCAAATGGCCGATTCCTGAATGTGTTGACAATAAGTGTCAGGTTGGAGGGTGAGTGAACGTGGCTCTGCCAGGGCAGCCAGGCTGCAGGGCAGTGCCCAGGCTGCAGGGCAGTGCCCAGGCTGCAGGGCAGTGAC